AATGAAAACTACCCAATAAGGGAGAAAGATAAAATCCAGAGAAAGAATTACAAAATAAAAGGGGGAAGGATTTAAAACAGAGGTGGAGAGGACTCAGGTACACTTGTAGTACTTCTCTGCTAAATATGCTTCAAAGTCTACCATTTTCTTCCATAAAGTTAAATATATCACCCTGGCAAGGACTGACCCAAAAGGATTTCAACGTTATATCCTGCCGCTCCTCTACACATTCTCACCAATTTGGACTATTAGCTGTCCCACCGACAGACCTTCCCAAACCCCTGGAAAAATACTCTTTACTCTTTGAGCCAGTTCAAATGATAATTCCTCTAGAAAACCTTCCCTAATCTTGACCTCTTCTTGTCCATACCTCCCCAAATCAGATCTAGTATTTTCCTTGCTTAAAGTTCTATAAACAATGTTACTGGGTCTTCTATTTCAATTCGTGTATTTTCTTTTTTTTTTTTTTATTTAAAAAAAAATTTTTTTTTCAACGTTTTTATTTATTTATTTTTGGGACAGAGAGAGACAGAGCATGAACGGGGGAGGGGCAGAGAGAGAGGGAGACACAGAATCGGAAACAGGCTCCAGGCTCTGAGCCATCAGCCCAGAGCCTGACGCGGGGCTCGAACTCATGGACCGCGAGATCGTGACCTGGCTGAAGTCGGACGCTCAACCGACTACGCCACCCAGGCGCCCCTAATTCGTGTATTTTCTTATACTCCCTAAACCTTGAGAGCAGAAGCTGTCTTATAATACATACCTTCTTCTGCTTCTAACACTATGTATATGCAAAAACTATTTGCTAAATTCAAGTGGAGAACACTAAGGTTAAAATCAAAATGAGATTTTTCCCACTACCACAAAAAATCAACATTAGATTTACTAAAAACAAATGAGAACATGTCAAATTTTGACAGGTGGTGACAATAGGAAATTATTACAAAAAGTATGACTAACTAGCTAAATTGAAGTTTAAGAGAAAATGAATGTAACAGGTAATTATCAATTGGTTTAATAAAATCTACCTAAATGTGCCAGTAATTCCGTAAGATTATTTATTAAAAGATGACTTATTAGCAAGTGTTCCAATGAATATAAGTGAAATACCACCCATTAAATTAGTCTTGGATGAGTATTATACTGAATTTTAGCCTTTGTATAGAAGGAGAATGTGAATAGCTCATGCGAAACTCAGCAATAAGTAAACCAGAAATTTTTGTTGTAGAGAGATTATATTAAAGGCAATGCTAAAAGAATCCATGACTGGCTTTCTATGGTTCCAAGCAAAGTCTCTGGGTTACCACAAATTCTCAAGAGGGAAGTGCAGCTTCCAGGGCACCGGGACAAGAGGAATTTGTGAAGGCATTTGCACAATAACCTTAAGACTTGTTGCTAATCACAATATGTATTGTTGAATTAAGATAAGAGATAAGAATATTTTGAAACTTACAGTTTGGCACTAGTTTTAAAAAGTTCAAAACATCACTTCAACAGGATCTTGAGTGGTAATGGGCAAGTGTTTTAGGCTGACTGTAGTATAGGATTTCACGTAAACACACATTCAAAATATTACACTGTTGTAAGTACAAAACAGAATTGAGCAACCCTTCACATAATCACCAGTTAAAAGGCAAAGAAAATCAACTGACGGTGGGTCTGGTAACCTGATATATGAGTGAAGGTTAGGGTAAGAACGTAAGGAATGTTTATAATAATTATCTTTTCAGTGTCTTTTTGACAACAGAATCAAGCGTGAATGAGGAAGTATATTACACAGAAGATGCATGAAAATCCTCAATTATGTGCATATTTCCAAGCTTACCTACTCTTTCACGTATACTAACTGCAAAGAAAACATTAAACAGTAGTTATCTTTATAAAGCAACAGAAGTTTCACAACAGTTTCATAATAATTATACGTCAGGTTGGAGTGCCAGGAAAACACAAATTTCAGTTTCCTACTCAAGGTCTGTCAAATAAGTTAATTTATTCAGGCAAACATTATCTTTCAACCCAAGAATGGTTTCCAGGCTCAGAAAGGAAATCTGGACTGAGAGAGCCAAAAGAAGACTCGAGAGTTAGGGAAAATCTCAAAGTAACTATCATTTCAGGCCCTCCAGCAGCCGGGGTCATTACATCTCTTGTTTCTTATCACAGAGCGGTGGGGAGCCTGGTCAGGCCCGAACTCGGACTCAAGTCCAGGCTCTGCCCCTTACTGGGCAACATTGGAGAGTCATCTGGCCCTTCTGAACCTGTTTCCTAAACCATAAAATGGGATAATACCCATTTATGAGGGTTAAACAGAAATAGGGGTGCCAGGAACTTGGTGAGACTCCATGCATGCCATTATTACTACAATATTCCTGTGTAGAAAGTTCCTTGAATCCAAAATGTTTTTCAGCCTCCTTAGAACCAATTATTTCCTTCAGATCTCACTCTCCGTCTTTGGATGAGGAAGGGAAGGGGATGGTGAGGAGAAGTGTAGCGAGTAAGACAGAGCCACTCACATCAAGCAGGGGCCTGTGTCAACGACAGAGCAGCTCAGGGCACTGCAGCTGAGACCCGATATCGCCCAGACCAGCATCAGCCGGTGACACAGTCAGAACTGATAATCAGCAGAAGGAAAGAGAGAGGACGGCAAAGGCCAGGCCTGATCAAACCCCTTTAAAAAGACAGGATGTGGGGGACACCTGGGAGGCTCGGTCAGGTAAGCCTCTGACTCTTGATTTCTGCTCAGATTGTGATCTCACCATCAGGAGGGTAATAAGCCTTGTGGGGGCTCCAAGCTGAGCGTGGAGCCCGCTTAAGAGTCTCTCCCTCCCTCTCCCCCTGCCCTCCCCCATTTGGGCACGTGAGCCTGCACACTTTCTCCATCTCTCTCGCTCAATTAAGAAAAAAAAAAAAAAGAGGGTGGGGGGGGCGCCTGGGTGGCTCAGTCGGTTGAGTCTCCGACTTTGGCTCAGGTCGTGATCTCACGGTTCGTGGGTTCAAGCCCCGGGTCGGGCTCTGTGCTGATGGCTCGGAGCCTGGAGCCTGCTTCGGATTCTGTGTCTCCCTCTCTCTCTGCCCCTCCCCTGCTTACGCTCTGTCTCAAAACAAACGTTTTTTAAAAAAGAGGATTTCTGCAGCCAGGTGTCAGACTCCCCAGACACTGACCCCTCTATGTCTGACCACTTCCAAACGGCAGCTGGTGGAAGGCTCTGCAGGGTTGATCTCAGGAAAGAACAGAGGTCCTTCCCGGCTTGGACTTAGCGGGAAGTACTGAGCAGAGACCCTGACCGAGGCCTCCTCTCAACAGGGCGCTCAGACGGACTCCAGGGTGGGCTGGTTAGCTTCCTACCTCCTGTTCATCTCGCTTTTTTGTGCCTTGTGCTTTGCGGGACGTGAAAGAAGCTAAGTTACACGGGTGGCGAAATGTCGCTGAGTCTGGAATCCCGAACCTGCTGTATGGTAACCTCGCTTTATGACTGAAATGAGCGGACGCTGTGGGAAAAGACGCAACCCGCGTGTGCGCCGTCACAGCGCGCTGGTGACAAGAGGGAACGAGGAGGGCGGGAGCAGCCACCGCGAAGCTCGGGGAGCCAGCGCAAAGGAGAGGAGGGGCCTGAACAAACCCGGGGTTGGTGTGCGGGAGGGGTCGTGGCGCAGCTGCAGAGGGCGCGGGGGCCAAGGGGTGGAGGGTCTGGGTCCGGACGCCAGGGGGCGGGGGCCGGCGGCGGAGAGCAAGCGGCAGGGGCTGGGAGTAGAGGGTCAGGCGACGGAGGGGTGGGGGCGGAGGGCAAGGGTGGGCACCCGGCGGCGGGGTCTGGGGACACAGGGCAGGCGTGGGCGGAGGGACGGGTGCTGGGGGTGGAGAGTGGGGGGTCTCAGCGGCGTTGGGCCGGGAGCGCAGGGTGGGAGTCTGCGCCCCGCGTGGTTGTTGGAGGGTCTGGGACTGGGGCGGAGGGGTCACGGTTCAGGAGGGGGAAGGGCCAAGAGCGCTGGGTGGGAGTTGGTGGGGGGGGGGGTGGTGGTGGCGGAGGACGAGGCCCTGGGGCGGAAGGCACCTGGTGGCTGGGGGCACAGAGAGGGGGTGGCCCCCCTGGGGGGGTTGGCGGAGGGCTGGGGGTGGAGGGCCAGGGGCTGGGGGCGACGGTGGGCACCCAGCGGCGGGGGTGGGCGCTCGGGAGGTTTGTGGAGGACGGGGGGTGGAGGGTGGGGGTCCCAGCCGGCGGGGGGGCCGGGAGCGCTGGGCGGGGGTCGGCGCCGGGGGGGGGGGGG